TATAAAATAATATATTTATTACATTTTTATAAAATATAAAATAAAAAATATTTTAAAATTAAACGCGTTTGGCTCTGGCTTTCTATTGAAGTCTAATTTAACATTAAATTTTTTTTTTTAAAACAATTTGTAATTATTTACAAGATTAATTGGAGGAGAAGAAAAAGGATTTTCATAGTGCTTGAACATGCAACCCACGAAAGTGAACAATCATAACTCAAGATCCAAGATCCAATATCACTGTAACGAAACGAGCCATTTTAATTTTACATTAAATTAATATAAAAGAAAAAGGTCGAAATTGAATACTTTTTCACTTTTCAGAATTCTTTTAAGGGTCAATGGCCTACCAGGATGGTAACATCACTTGTTGGCCGTGGGTCATCTGAATTAGAACCGTCCAAAAACGAGAAACGTGTAACAATAATGGCAATCGAACCTCTGCATGAAAATATCTGTTCGAAAAACTGTGCAATTTTTGTTTTTTTGGGAATTCGAAAAAAATTATATACAATATTAATTTTTATATAATAAATAAACTAATTAAGTTTACCATGTCAATTTAAAATTAACATATATAATATATAAATAAAATTTTTAATTCAATAATTAATTTTTAAAAATATTTTCTCTAAAACGCTTTTCTTATTATTTTTTTTAAAACAAAATTTAGTATTAAAACTTGATTGTCTTACTAATCCATAATCGATGCATGCATGTTCATTTTCAACTCCTTTCTGTATGGCAAACTAAATTAATTTTTTAATTATAATTAAGCACTAAATTAAAACGTGATTGCCTAACAACTCCTTAATTTCTACAGGGCATACCATTTTCAAAAATAAAACTTTATCAGTTTTAAAGTGGAAGGAATAATTTTTTTTTTTAAAAGTCTATCAATAATAAAAGTGAAACATCAAACACAGTAAAAAAAAGAGAATATTGCAGTTCAAAAAAAGAAAAAAGAGGGAATATTTCTAGAAGTGAATAATTTGCATTCAACTGTTCAAGTTCATAACTTTAATTTAATTAATTAATGATTTATAATCACAATGTGTTAAATGATTTCTATTAAAGCATATATGTCTATGGATTTTAGCATTCTATTAAGAACAAAAAAATAAAAATAAAAATAAAAAACAGAATCCTACTTTACTTTGTGAGTTTTTTAAATTTTTAGTCTAAATATAAAGAGAAGATTTATTAAAGATAATATATAATTTCAACTACATTTTTTTATGAGGTTTACCAATAAGAAAAAAAACATTTTTATTAGTAACTAATTAATGTTGGGTTAAAGCCAACTGTAGTCCTCATACTTTATAAAATTGTTCGTTACCGTCCCTCTACTAAGAAAATGTTCGATGTCATCCCTCTACTTTTCTTACAATATAAATGCCATCCCTCTACCACACATTTTTTGTTCAATGTCATCCCTAATGGGATGCCATCCACACTTCCATTAATTTTGACCGTTAATTACTAACAGTCAAAGATTCAACTTATTGTTTATTAATTTTTTTCTACCAAATAAGACAAGTGGGATCATTTTTTTTTCTTTTGGTTCTGTATTTTTGTTTCTTTCTAGTTTCAAAGGAATTGGCGCAAAAAGAATGTAGCCAATTTTTTTTTCTACCAAATGTGTTGCACTGTTTTTGTTTTTGTTGCTTTATTTTTTTTAAGTCATGTCCTGTATAAGCAAGCAATAGAGCAAAGTTTACAGAGACTAACAGATGCCAAATTACAATCCTTCTAATCTGTTGCACTTTTGTTTTTTTTAGTTAAGTTCTGTTTTTCTATTATGTCCTGTACAACCAAATGGTTACTTGTAATGACATTGCAATGTTTACAATGAAAGTGTATCTTTTACCTACTTTAGCAAATCTTGCATTTATATAGCTGAAAATGCTCAAAAGATAGACATAATTTGGCAATTAACATGACCAAAAAAGAGTCATATATTCCATTTCACATTTGCAGTACATAGGAGATTGCCCTGGCTTGGCATAAGGGGCCCATTACAAAAGTAAACAAAAAGACCCTCTACAAATGCAGACAACTATCTAACACAACTTAATTGCCAAATAAGCAATACTGCAGAAAACACATTTTCAAATTCAACCAAATTGAAGCAACCATCTCATGATCTTTGAGCTTTTTTCCCATTTCAGAGTTCAAATTCTTCAAATGGTTAATCTCTCCATGCAAGTCTAAATTCTCTCTTTTCAATTACAGGAGCAGGTCTGAATTCTCTCTTTTCAATTACAGGAGCTCATTCATCAGTGTTTGCTCCTTATCCAGCAACATGTTATCCAGAATTCAGCTCAAGCCTCATCATCCTTCTACAACAATGTAAAACAAAAACTATATGTATCAAAATCCAAATCAACCATAATACCACAACACAACCCAAAATCAACAACAATTAATAACATATCTCACCAACCCAAAATTCAACACAAAATCAACAAGAAAATTCATGATTAACAGTAGCTATCACAACCCAAAATCAACACAAAATAAATGAGAAATTCCACGATTAACAGCAGTTGCTTTAACACATTCTGGGTTTGAGTGATTCCATGATTGGGGGAAGAAAAAGCAAGATGATTTTTGGCAACTTTGGGCAATTTTGGGTGATTTTGGGTGTAGGATTTTGTGGGTTACGGTGAAAATGGAGAAGAAAGAAAGAAAGCCAAAACATATAGAGAAGAAGGGTGGAGATGAGGAGCAACCGATTGGGTGAACTAGTGAAGATGGTGCATCATTTGGGTGAAGAAAATCAAGATGATTTTTAGCAATTTCAGGCGATTTTGGGTTCAGCAAATTTGGGCGATTTTGGGCAATTTTAGGCATAGGGTTTTCTGGTGAAGATGGTGAAGATGGTGAAGAAAGAAAGAAAGATCGAAGATTGGTGAAGAAGAGTGAAGAAGAGGAACAGCTGGATGGGTGAACTGGTGAACTGGTGAAGCCGGTGAAGAAGGGCATGGGCTTCATTCTGTGGTTCAGGGAAAAATGACCCTGAGGAAGAAAGAAAAGGAAATAAAAGAAAGAGTTTAAAAAAAAATGGTCCCACTTGTCTTATTTGGTAGAAAAAAATTAATAAACAATAAGTTGAATCTTTGACCGTCAGTAATTAACTGTCAAAATTAATGAAAGTGTGGATGGCATCCCATTAGGGATGACATTGAACAAAAAATGTATAGTAGAGGGATGACATTTATACTGTAAGGAAAGTAGAGGGATGACATCGAACATTTCCTTAGTAGAGGGACGGTAATGAACAATTTCACAAAGTACAAGGACTACAATTGGCTTTAACCCAATTAATGTTTATTACTAACTACTTAAGTAGTTTAATGGTCATTTTCTTTTATTAGAAGTAAGAATTTTTGAATTTAAATCATATGGCATGCGGATGAAATGGGATAAGAGATGTGAGATGGTTGCTTCTCATTGTGTAACCAAGATAAAAAAAAAAAAATAATAACGTTTAATTACTAGTAGTTGTTTATAAGTTAAAAGGCAAAGTTTTCATTCAGTTTGTCTTTACATTATTCTCCTTTGGACTGCACGTTTAATTCTGGTCTGGAAATTTGAAGGTCCTCCGGACTTCTTCTTCTTCTTTTTTAAGAATTACTCAAATGACTCCATTTCTGTGGTCTGCAATTGTTTGACCATTAACCCAAGTCTCTAGTCAATATTCTTTGGAATGAACAGAGATGAAAACATGATGAAGAATCCTTGGCAAGCATTAAAAATATCTATAAACATGAGAAGACAGGAGAGATCAATACCCACATTGTTCACTTCATATTTTGTTCAGTTATTGATGTGTTGGGTTGTGCTGTGCATAGAGTATCAATGGCTTTTTGCAATTTGCATTATTGGGAATAATTAGCCAAATGCTGCTGTCCCCATTTACAATGTAATGGTATCCGTTCCTTTGCAGCTCTTACCTTTTTGGATTGGCTGTGTTTATATATGTATGTCAAAAGAGATGATATAAGAAAATGAAGTAATAAACCTAATCAAAAAGGAATATTGCAAGATAATCCTAAGAAGAAATTCACCTCGAAAAAGTTTTTCTTTTTCTTTTTCTTTTTTTAATTTAATAAAAGGAATTATCAAGAAACTTAGGAATAAGGAGAAGATAATTGAATTTATTTTCAGATAAAATTGTTGTAGATTTTTGTTACTGATCTCCCGGTATCCAATAATTAAATTAGGTGTCGATTAATTTACAACACGGAGCTGCATCAGATCCATAAGAAAGAAATTATCCTAGCGTTTGTTTTTTCTTTTACAAGACTCGAACTCGAGACTTTAATTAAAGAGAATTAAGGTCATTTTATTCGGACTAACAGGTCCTTATTACAAAATCCTTGTAGATGCATGCTTTAATTTTTATTCTTTTTCCAGATTCTGAATAAAACCGAAAGCAAGCCGGGAAAACACCAACTATCTTTCCGGACTCCTGCTGGATTGTGGATTCCTTTTCCTATTAATCCGTGACTCTAACCTAAACATCCCCTTCTGCTCACATATAAATAAACCCCTTTCGTCTGCATACACCTCAAACAAAAAACCATAGTTTCTTCAAATTTCTTTCTTCTGTATTCCTTCTAACAGATTCAAACATGGCTGATCTTTCCATCAAGGGCTTTCGCCTTCTCAGGTTGTTATTAGATTAACTGTCTTGTGTCTTCTTTTCTTAGTCCCAAATGTAATTTTTTTTTTTTTTATTTGGTAGGAAATAGCACTTATGTACACTGAGGTAGTTTTTATGTGAGTGCATTAAACTCTCAAATCACAAAAATGTGTATTTGATCCGCTATTTGAAAAAATATGTACTTAATTCTTTATTATGATTATTATGAGAGGTGATGATATTGATTGTTTTGATTTTTGTTATTTTTCGTTAATGTTTTAAGCAGGCGATCTTATGCAGGACTCGCAGCGGAGGATGTGAATGTGAAAGTGCAAGCTGCAGCGTCGGTAATTTCCAAGGCGACAGATCTAAAGGCGACAGTTTCAGCAGGGAAGAAGGAAGTATTCTGGATGCAAGATCCAAATACGGGCAACTATATTCCTGAGAGTCATTTTGGAGTGATTGATGTTGTGGAGCTGAGGGAGAAGAAGCTTTCAAGGAAATATAATCCTTAGAATTTAGAATGCTGAAGCACTTTGGAATTTTACACCCAGACTTCTGTTTCTATCAACTTGTTAAGCCTGCAGCTTCACTCCTGGACCACAGTTTTCAGCTTTTGCTTGCTTTAGGAATAAGTAAATGATATGATTTATAAGTTTTAAGTCCAAGATTTCGCCTGGTATGATCCATTGTTTTCTCAGTTTTCAGTTTTGAAGTTTAGGCCAACAAGGACGACATTTAGAGTAATACTACAAACATTGAGAAAAAAAAAAAGAGAGAAAAAACCCCAAAATTTTATCAATGTATTATGTAGGAGCATGGTAGGCTTCTATAGATCATACAGAGAGCATCTACAAATAACCTTCTGAAGAAATTACCACCAAAAAAAAAAACCCTTGTGAAGAAACAAGCTAAACTAACTAAAACTATGAAAAAGAAATGTCACATTCAAGCATAACTAAAGGTATAGTTGAATGAGTTCATCACTGACAACTGAAGGAGTAAGAACACCCAAATCTGTAAAGAGCAGAGTGAGATACTGTGGAGGAGTGTAATCCAGGTTAGACGTTTCAACCTCGACCTTTGATGGGATGGGTACCCCGAAATCAATGGGGCGTAAGGCAGGAGCCATATCCTTCTGATCCAATGGATAAAGACGGGCAAACTGCAACCAAGCAAACCATAATCAATTATAACTAGCATTGTAAACTCCTAACTGTTCTAAAGTTCTATTCAATATTCATCCTTGTATTGACACTACGATTATTCTTTAAATGATGGTTCCCTAGAAGGCTTTAACAGACATGTTATATATGAAAAATCAGAAAGTTTCATATACCTTGTAGCTTTCAGCAGCCACATATACAGGTTTGTTCATTGTGTGTGCAACCAATGCAACCTGGTATGTACCCATCATGTTAATTATACCACCACTTTCAACCACTCCATCAGCTCCCACAAATACCATGTCCACCTCATCCATACTATATGCCACGGCAGAGTCTATTAGAAGCTTCACTGGAACATCAAGTTTGGCCAACTCGGTGGATAATCGCAATCCTGTTCCGTCTGGTCTCCCCTCTGCATTTTAAAGCATGGAAGATTGCGAGAACAGACTTCATCATAAGTACATCAGCAAATGTATATAAAAGTGATAATCCATAATATATATATATATATATACATATACAAACATAGAATTGTGTCAATAGAAGGGCACTGTTACAAAAAAATCTTTCTTCAGTAGAGTCATACAGGGGATTATCAGATCTAGTAACTGTAATAAAAATGTTTCCACTAGCTGTGCCTAATACTTCTGGCTCTTTGAAAGTCAATAAAAACATGCAGTCAAAAATACAAAATGATATAATGCAGTATCATTGATGGTGCTAGTCAAAGATGAGTTTTAAGTAGCCCATGCAAAAACTTCAAAAAAGGATTACACAATTATTTTGATGAAATTAGATTCAACTATGCTCAGTCCAGCCATTAAAAAAAAAAAAAAAAGATATAATGCAGAATCTTTGATGTTGCCAGTCAAAGACAGGTTCAAGAAGCTCAAGCAGAAAAAGAAAAAGAAAAAGAAAAATGGAAAAAGAAAACTACTAGACAACATTTCAATGATATCACATTCAACTCTGTCCAGTTCAGCCAGTTAAAGGAAGATAAAAGATTGGTACAAGCAGAACCTGTGCAGAAAACCCGAAATAGTTTCTTATTTTGAGCTGCTGTCTTAAGTACTTCCAAAACAACTCTGGAAAAGCCATGTACCAAAATGGTACAACCATCAAATATGAAATCTTGACTGAGCATTGCAATAATCCGGCGTGCCTGTGATGTGTGATAACAACAACATTTTCTGTTAGCCTGAATTTTCACATTATGATACAATGAAATGATATGGCAGCAAAACAGTCACTCAAGAAAGTTTTGATTATATAAATACCTTACAAGATATTTCCCCAAATTTCTCTGCACGTTCAATCAGGCGAGATTTAGCCGAATTGAAGTCCTCATACTCTAAGGCCGATGTCCTGGTCACGTACCGGATAAAGAGATCACACCCAGCTGTCAAAGAGATAGAGGTTGTATCCCAAGACTGGAAGCAAACATATACTACGTATAATTACCATTATTGCAAAATGAGAAATCCTGAAAATCAATTTTCTGCTTTCAACTATTTTGTCAAGAAACCACGGATTCTAGCAAGCACTTCCATTTCAGATAGAAATTAATTAAAGTGAGGCAAAGAGGCAAAGAGGCAAAGAAAGGAAACATATGCCCTAAACATTTCATACAGCCAAGGAGGCAAACAAACTAGCTATTTTACAAGGGAAAACATGAAAAAAGAATAGAAAATGTATATCAAAGTGCTCCACTATCATTTAGCCAATACCACCATCGCTATATTTCTCGAACAAAACATCAACTAGGTATAACCATTACTATAGCCTTGCAAACCAGAGATATGCAGCAACAATGGGTAAGCCTGGTAGTTCAGCACCCTCATAACCTGATTCAAACTGCCCTTAATGATTCATGTCCCAACTCCAAGATCAAAACTTATAATCCATTCCCCATTTTTTGTAGTCAGCCTAAGATTATTATCATTTATGCAACATTCTAAAATATGTTGATTTTGGTGACATACTGTTGACGCTGCACATAGGAACATAATTACATAAATATATTTTTATGGGTTAGTACTTGTCCGCCTTACCTCCAAAAAATTAGGAGGAAAAAGGACAAAAATCACCTTAACGCATGCTTTAAAAATAAGGTAGTTTAGTCTTTTTCAATAAAAATTTATTGAAACGACGTAATTTTGAGATGATCTTCCTCCTAAAAATTAGGAGGTAAGGCTGATAGGCACCATTTCTTATTTTTATTCAATCAAATATCTTATTGAATTTGAACCTCTTCAAGCTACAAGATGAAACAAGAAGACAACCACTATTCTATTCAAAAAAATGAATACAGTGAGGAACAAAAATTCATTCCTCTGTCATGAGAACACATAATTTAACCAAAGCTGAAATGCAGTATATTATTAAGGGTGTGGTTATGGCCACCCACCACTTTGTTAAGGCCACACAATTCTGATTATTTCAATGTTAAAAATAGTTGATAAAATAAAATAACTAATATTTATTATTTAAAAGATTAAAATTAATTTATAAATTAATATTTTTAAACACTATATTAAATAATTTTTGTGTGGCCTAACTAAGACGGGTGGCCATAACCACACCTTATTATTATGCTTCAGGGGAATACTTAAAATTAATATAAACCAGCTGAAAATAGGCAAATAGCAGAGGCTAAAAAGAAACAGTGTCTTGAAATTCCTTGTTAATTCAATAGAAAACGAAAGGGAAACACAGTATCATTATTTGTAAACAATCAGAGGAACCAAAACACTCACTTTAAGGGAATCCGATGCCTTTTTCAGCTCAATCTCGAGTTCCATCATGGTCGTAGCCTGGCTAGCCCTGATAACCGCCGCAAGCGCGCGAATAGCTGCAACAGCCTCGGCCAAATCGGGCTGCTTCCTCCAGCTGTTGAACTCATCGATCACGCTAAACGGCTTTCCGGCATCGCCGGCGGCAGACTTTGTCCTTTCATCATTTACCGGCAAGTCGTCATCGGGGTGACGGCCAACCGCAGCCTGAGCCTGCGCCAGCCAATCACTAGTTACTACCGCACGCGTCTGGTAGTAAGCAGAGGTGCTAGTGTTAGGGTTAGGGTTTTGGAGAGTATCTGCCATGGAAGGTGGGGGAGAGGAGAGGGAAATGGATTCGGGATTCCGCGACGCGGTGTCGTTTTGCTGTTGTCTATCGAGGATGAAAGAGGGCGATCTCCACCACATCTAATGGTTAGTTTTAGGGCGTGACAGCGTCACTTTCTCGAGAAAATTACTGACAGAGAACGAGGGAAAAAAGCGTAATTGCCGGCGGCCGGAGAAAGATTTCGATTATTTGTGTCTTGAAACGAAAATCGACAATCAAGACGGGAATTTTAGCTAAGCGTCGCCATAGAACTTCAAAGTGCAAAGTTGAATTAGTACACTTTTTATTAATTAATTATTTTATTTTTGTAAATAAAAACGTACTTTGAAAAATCTATAGGTTGCAGAGCAGTGCTAGGGGCACTCGCTTTCTGCACTCTCCGGGCACACTTCCCCTTTCATTGGGCCACGTAAGCTTCTTTAAAGCTCTCGGGAACCAAGATAACGTGGCCCAATACAAGAGAAAGTGTTGGCTGGAGAGTGCAGGAGGCGAGTGCCCCTAGCATTGCTCATAGGTTGAATTGTCTACGTGTCAGTTTTTTTTTTTTGTAGTACCCACCGATAAAACAATTTTGATAAAATAATTATAAAAACATTTCTGATAATAATTAGCTATTAAAATGGACATGATTCCTGTTGTTGTAACAAATTTAAGGAGTTTGGTTGCGATTAACTATTTAAATAATTTAATTTTTTTTTTGTTAAAAATAAAAAATTTTAAATTTGAATTACATGTTGTATAAATAAATTAAGTAAAAAATGAGAGATACTTATATTTTATTTTGTAATCAAAATAAAAAGAAAACTCATTTATTTAAATAATTAAATGATAATTTTATTTTTATAAAAGCAAAAAAATTAAATTTAAGTTTTATAATATATTATTAATGTGTATTAAAAACAAAAAAAAATTATTTCTTATTTTACAACTTATGATAAATTTTAAAAATAATGTAGTTTTGACTATATAAATAATACATGTGTTTAGTTTGATTAATATTTATTTAGTATATAACTTTTAAAAATAAATTAATTTTAATATATGCACATTAAATATCAATTATTTTATTAATTATTAATTATTTTTAATAATTAAATCAAATAGAGTTAATATTTTTAAAACATTATTCATAAATTTGTATAGCTTTAACATAATTAAGTGTGACCATAATCGCAATCACCATTGACATATTTTTTTAATTTTTAAAATAATGTTTTCACATATTTGTTAAGATTAAATCAAATAAGTTTTCTTAATAAAATTTTCATTTCTCAAAAAAAAAGTTTTCTTATAAATTTTGTGCCTTTGTCTTTTGTGTGGACTTTTATTTTTTATTTTTTTATATTCACATAGATTTTGTATCTTGATTATAAATGTTTGATCATGACAAGGACATTCCCTTGCAAATGCGTCTAAAATTTAAAATAATAGTACTAGTAATAATATTTAGAAATTTAATTTTAAAAGTTAAATTATAGAATTTAATTCTGCGCGTCACTTCCTCTGTGCCATGGGATGAAGGGACAAAATGGAGTAAGGAATTATTGTCAATAGTTTTAAAATTACAAAAATATGAAATAAAATATGGAAAAAGATTAACATTTCATGGAAAAAGAGAAAGAATTCCACCAGTTTTGCAGATTGTTGAGTTAGATAGATAAAGGCAGACATTTTATTCTCGACCTTCGAAATGCAGCAGATTGCAAATGTTTTTTTGATGGATTTTTCTTCCGAATTTAATTGTTAATCGGAGAAGAAAAGTTATGAGGGTGTCTTTGATTTTTTTTTTGATAATGAGGAGCTGATGATCCTCGTTGAGAATTGAATCATGTACGAAGAATCCCGTTCTGGGACAGCGAGGTTTCTCCCGCCGGCGTACGCAGCGTTAATCTGTTGGTTACCGCGTCGGAGAAGGTCTTGCTTGATTGCGATGACGTTGATTGTTGTTTTTTGAGGTAAACTTATTATAATCTGGATTGTGCAAATTTATTTGCTTTCTTTATAGGGGAGAATTGGGTTTTTGTTATGGCGGGGAAATATTGTGGCTTTTGGAGACTTCAATGAAAGTGATGGAATTATACATTGGTATGAGTTGTTTCATGTATGGCATGGCAGCGTGTGTTGATCTGGGTGATTGATGATTTCAAATTGACGTGTGACTCTTTGTTCATGTTGGGTTAAAGAACTTGGTTTAGTTGTTTCCTCGTGATTTAAGCTCCATTTTGGTTCAGGAATTTGTAGACGGAAGCATTTTCAGATGCAAATGATAATGTTTGCAATTCATCCATCAGGGTTCAATGGAAGTAGTTGAAGTTTATAGTTATTCCTTTGGATAGAGATTGAGGTTGACAGCTAGGACCCCACTTTTTTTCAGATGACTATTTTGATAATTTGTTTCTGAGGGTTTGGATTGGGGCAGAAAGCTTGCAAGTATTTGTACATAGAAATTTTGAGAATTATTGTCGCTCATGCTGGGATTGTAACCCCTGAGTTTGTTAGGATTTGATATCTAGGTATTGCATTTTAAGAGCATCAAATGAGCACAGCAATATGATTGGGGGCAGCTGGACTGTTTCTAGATGGATGCCCCCAGGAAAACATTCTCCGAGTTAGTTACTCTAGTCAAGTCCTGGCTCCCTTGGCGATCTGAGCCTGCTAATGTGTCAAGGGATTTCTGGATGCCCGACCAAAGCTGTATGGTGTGCTATGACTGTGATTCCCAGTTCACAGTATTTAACCGTAGACACCATTGCCGACTCTGTGGCCTAATTTTCTGTGCCAAATGTACGGCAAAATCAGTTCCTGTACCACCTGATGACACAGGGCTTCCTCATCAAGAGCAAGAGAGGATTCGGGTATGTAATTATTGTTTCGAGCAGTGGGAGCAGGGCATAGCTTCTCATGATAATGCAGAACAGGTTTATAACCTGGATCTAAGTACTTCACCATCAGCTGCTAGTTTCCTCAGCACTAAATCTAGTTACACTGCTACTGGTAGCAGTTTTAATAATGGCTCAATGCCATATGTGGTTGGGCATTATCAAAAAGTTCAACAGAGCTCTTATCTCAGCCATCAATTATCTGCAATAAGTACAACAAGCACGGACAGGCAAGGTGAAGCAGGACCAAGGAGGAGTGATGACCCTGTCATGGATACAGGGAAAAGGAATCCTTCAAGCCAGGGTTCATTTACACTGAACAGGTCTGACAATCATGCTTCTTAATTTCTTTCTGTTGAGATTTCCTCTTCCATGCACTTCCCTCTATCAAGGTAGCAATATAAGCCTATTATCTTCTGTAAGTCTAAAGTCATTGTTACCACTGCTTTTTCGTGTGTTTTTACTAGCAGCGGTGTGATAATAGGTCTGCCATAAAAATTATTTTTAAAAATGAAAGGAAAAAAAGAGCTTTTATTGCAAACTGAAGAGGTTATTGGTTACGGGTTTCTTGCTTTTCATTTGGCATCAGGAGTGAGGACGAGGATAATGGGTACAGTATATATTGTTCTGATTCTGAGACAAAGCATTTCCCTCCAGTTAATGATTACTATGGTCAAGTTAACTTAGATCAGATGAGCATGTATGATGGATCAAACAAGTTGTATCATGATGGCAAAAATATGAGCCTGAAAAGTTTAGGCAATTCTCCATCAAATCTTGGCTTTGACTCACCTTGTTTAGAAGGAAGCCCACGGCTTGGAGAAGATGAGCATGATGTTGGTGATGAATGTGAAGCATCTTCCTCTCTATATGCTGCAGAGAATGTTGAGGCTGAACCTGTGGATTTCGAGAATAATGGACTTCTCTGGCTACCTCCTGAACCAGAAAATGAAGAAGATGATAAGGAAGCAGTTCTGCTTGATGATGATGGGGATGCTACAGGAGAATGGGGACATCTACAAAAATCAAGCAGCTTTGGAAGTGGTGAATATCGGAATAGGGACAGGTCAACTGAGGAGCAGAAGAAAGGAATGAAGAATGTAGTTGATGGGCATTTTAGGGCATTGGTTGCTCAGCTCTTACAGGTTGAGAACCTTCCTGTGGTTGATGATCACGGTGAACAGGGATGGTTGGAGATCATCACATCTCTTTCGTTAGAGGCTGCGACACTGTTGAAGCCAGACATGAGCAAAGGTGGAGGGATGGATCCTGGTGGGTATGTTAAAGTCAAATGCATAGCTTCTGGATGTCGTTCTGAGAGGTAAATTCTAAACAGCATGCTTAATTGTTTATATATAACCTAACCACTGCACCTCCCTATTCCAATGAATCTGTAAATTTTGCTTTTGAAACATCATAAAGGTGGCCCGTAAAATGATCTCAAAACTTAGGCTGTTCATATCTCTTGTTCCATACATGACTTCCTACAGAGGAATGATTCGACAACCTTTCATCCACATTCATGGAGAGGTTACCCCAGAAAACTCAACTATAAATCAGCAGAAATCTTTGTTAATCCCAACTAATTATGGTTCAATACATTAATCACCTTCTTTTACTCAATATCTCTATCTCCTTATTCTCGGAATATTACAAGTGAGAAAAGAACACAGGGCCTGAACTTGGAAAGTTGAGAAATTCTCTCTCATGGATCTTTCTTTTTATTCTAGCTTGAGAGATGAATAAATTTCAAGTTTCGGTAAAAGATTCTCACAATTAAAAAGCCAAACAAAACTATGACTTGAACAAACCACTCAGGTTACTTCCATTTCCAGAATGGATTTCCCATGTTCTTATCCAACTGTACTGCTGGAAAGTTAAACTTCTACAAG